TGCAGGAGCAGCAGATGCCTTCAGAGGATAAAAGCATTAACCATGATGAGTCTTGAAGGTGAATATCATAGTGTTTTAAGCAGAGAGTGAATATGAAATGTAGTGTTTTAAACTACTCTCAAAGTAGTTTTCTCATGATCACATTTACTTCTACTGAGGTCAGTCTAAATATACAAGAAAGAGAACAGGGAAATGGTTAAAGACGTACTGTATAAGCTACATGAAATCAAAAAACTTAAACAAGTAATTTTTGAACTAACACCTTAACCTTTTGTGATATCACAAGACACACATGTACATACACACAGACTCTCATAGTTGAATTTCATTGTCACTTCTGGCACATAGGTCCTCAACCATTGATTTCCTTAAAGAACTATAAAGATGTCTTATTAGTTATAATAAGCTCCTCAAAGTATACCTGAGTTTATATTAATTAGAAGGCTTGGGTGAGGAAAGCCTTTTTTACATGGAAGTTCAGGTGACAGTTACTAGTCATACAATTAGAAGTTTGGAACTTTTACATTCACACCACGCACAATTCTATGTAGAGGAAGTGTGCTAGATAGAGATTTAATTAATCACAATAACATATGGTTTAATCAATGATTCCCAAACTATGAAGCTTACATAAAAAATCTGAAAGGATTTGGTTCAGAGAGTTTCTAGGTTGTTTAACACATGAAAATACTTGAAGGATGACTTATCCAGAGAAGACAAAAATGTCTCTGGACTTTTTCATGTACCATGTTCTATCCTTGCTCTATGACCCCAGATAACTTTCAATAGGTTAATCCTGCCTTCGATCCTTTCATAATACATTATCTATCTAATAAGTAATCTTTTTTAGTATTACAAAACACTGTAGAAAATAAATGTAACCCAGAGATGTGATGATGAGAACTATTGCTTTATTACCTGTGTTTAAGAAGCGCAAGCAATATTGGTACTTGCAAGTAGCACCTAAAGGAGGAGCCAGTTACAGAAGCAAGCCCTTCATCCCAGAAATATAAATCTATCTCCAGGTAGATGTAATGAAAACTGAAGTGTAATATGCCCATTTTGTGTCTGAGAGTTGAAGAATTGCTTTACGTGTTGAAGAAACTGATACTTTTGGATTCCAAATGGGGACCAGAAGTGTCATAAGTATTGAGTGTAGAGAAGATACACAGTCATGCCGGAGATCATCTCCAACTTTTGAGGTGTCTGGAAGCAACACAGGCAGGACCCTAAGATGGGAAGGCGTCGGTGCGCGAGATTCCAAGAGGGGGGAGAGGAGCAGGCTTGAGGAAGACACAGAGTGGGGAGTCAGAGTTGGGTGCTAATCTTCCTGCTCTGCCTTCAGCAGAGGTTTATTTTATACATTTCAAGCAGGCAGGGGGGTGACATTAGCATATGAAAGGGGTTGAGATCACAATCACCTTTTTTCTAAGAATGGTCTGGGGTCATTTTGACCTTTACTTGAGATTATAACATTCTAAATTCAATCAAGGTTAAAAGACAGGTATATAGGTGCACAAAGATTAGGACTAATATTACTATAGTGAAGATTGATAAAAATAAAGTCCTTTAAACCTTATCTATTACTTGATGGTTTTTTTCTACCTGAGACATCTTGGGAGGCAGGAAGAGGAAATTTCTTGCAAATCAAGTTTTGGAAAAGTTCTTTGAAAAACTTGCTAAAAGGTTTTAAGTGAATTTCCTTGAGGTGTAGACAGTAGAAAGCATAATTCGCTCTGAATAGGAGACATAGGTGAATTTCTTTATCTAAAGACTACATAGTAGAATCCTGACAGACTAGCTAGAAGACTTTGTGGATTGCTTTGAGGTGTAGAAGGTAAAAAGCTTGACTAGCTCTAAAACAGGCAACCAGGATGAATTTCCATAACTAAAGGCCAGACAGTAGGAAGTTTGAGTAATTCTTTTAGAAGCTGAATAAAAGGCTAGGTGAGATAGTAGAATGATAAGATTTGGGTTTTCCTCCATCAGGCAGTGAGAGACTGCAGAAACAGCCCTTTTGCTTTTATTGATCAGCCAGTTGTCAAGTCACTTTTGACTTCAGAGGAATTTTTCACCCTGGTGCAGTGCTTGCTTGTCAGGGCAGGCAGGCCTTATGCAGCTGAGGCAATCCAATTATAAGCTGAAAGTTGCTCAGAATATTTTGATATCACGATTATACAAAAAAGGGAAGTCATAACATAAGTTTGCGTGGAAAGTCTGATTTTTCAGAGCAATTCCCCTCCATCCATACCGTGTCTGACGACAGAGGTTGCATAGCTTGTGTCACAGTCACATGTTTTTCTTTATATCTTTCCTTTCCTATTATTAATTTTGCTTGTTTTACTCATATACATTATCAATGAATCAGTCAGTACTTTTTACAACCATAGTAATTGTTGTGCAATATCGTAGATGACATAAATACAGAATGATGTTGAGATGTATTTGACACTCTAATTGAAGTTTGGCTTAGCAAACACCAAATTTATGATTTAATTAGCATAATATATTTCAGTATCAACAGTATCAACAGAAAATATATGAAAATAGTTTGAATGGTTGTGCTTTAGCTAAGAGAAGTAGAATTAGAGTGTTTTATGTATAATGTGTCTCCTAGTCTACTTGGAATAGTTTATCCAGACCTATTAGGGCACATCTCTATTGTGAGACTCAAAAATTAAAGCTTCTTTCCTTTTACTCCCTTGTCTTTGTGGCTTTCTGATCCCTAGGTCCTGTCATAGACAATGTCAATGAGGAATAAGACTTCATCTTCTGACTTTATCCTCCTGGGGCTTCTGGTGAACAATGAAGTCACAGGAATAATCTTTGCTGTCATCTTTACTATTTTCATAGTGGCTGTGACTGCAAATTTGCTCATGATATTCTTGATCCAGGTGGATTCCCGCCTCCACACCCCCATGTACTTTCTGCTCAGTCAACTGTCTATCATGGACACCCTTTTCATCTGTACAACTGTCCCAAAGCTGCTGATTGACATGGTTTCTAAAGAGAAGACCATTTCGTTTGTGGCTTGTGGCATCCAGATATTCCTCTACTTGACCATGATTGGCTCAGAGTTCTTCCTCCTGGGCTTGATGGCCTATGACCGCTATGTGGCTGTGTGTAACCCTCTTAGGTACCCAGTCTTGATGAACAGAAAGGTGTGTGCTCTGCTGGCTGTTGGTGCCTGGTTTGGTGGTTCCCTGGATGGTTTTCTACTCACTCCTATCACCATGAATTTCCCCTACTGTGGCTCTCGTAGTATCAACCATTTCTTCTGTGAGATTCCTGCTGTTCTCAGATTGTCCTGTTCTGACACATCTTTGTATGAAACTTTAATGTACATCTGCTGTGTACTCATGCTACTCATCCCCATCTCTATTATCTCAACCTCCTACACCCTCATCTTGTTAACAGTTCATCGCATGCGCTCTGCTGAAGGCCGCAAAAAGGCATTTACCACTTGTTCTTCCCACTTGACTGTAGTTAGCATTTTCTATGGGGCTGCCTTCTACACTTATGTTCTGCCCCAGTCATTCCACACCCCAGAGAAGGACAAGGTAGTATCTGCCTTTTATACCATTGTCACACCCATGCTCAATCCTCTCATTTATAGTCTCAGAAATAAAGATGTCTTGGGGGCATTTAAAAAGATATTTGCAAGATGTTCATCTGCTCATAAAGTAGCAACAAGGGGTGATTAGGTATTCAATATTCTGAGAAAATGTCTTCCTAAAGATGTCATCTGTTTCCTGATTTATAAGAGACCATTTGTTCAGTTGTCAAAGATTACTTACAATATACAATTAAGAGAAAATATATTGTCTGGTCTCTTGCCCCACTGGGAAGAAACCAATTATATTTAGTTTTAGGTAAACAATAAGAAATAATGTACTAGTCAGTAAGTTAAACTTCTGGTTGTTGTGTCTAGAAGGAAATGCACAGATAATCAAATTTTATAGCAACAATTTCCATATCCCCTTAACTCTTAACTAAGTTAAATAAATCACACAACAATATTCTAAAGCTACCAAGTTTGGCTTTCAGAAGTTTTTGTATTGTTTTTGTATCCATAAAGCAAGTCAATATCCATTCACAAATAACAAAGATAAATCACAAAATTTAAATCATATGTTTTATTCTCAGGAAACTAGAAACTCTATAATCATCTCAATTATATTGGTGAAATTAATGATATCAAACATGAGACTACAGTGAATAGTGCCTGACCTTATCTAAAGTTCTTATGAGTTACTCATTTTCAAGCACTAAATAGCTACTCAAAGGAAATACACTCTATTGTTTAACATTAATGCATTTCTTGCAAATCTTTCCATGTTATTTTTTTTTAAAGATTTATTTATTTATTTATACAGAACTGGGGTACAGGCCAGAAGTGCAGGGGCGGTGAGGTGATTTACCAGAGACAGAGTGGGGAGCAGAACAGGCAAATCGATGAAGTACATGGCTGAGGGGAGCAGCGGGAGTATCAGGAGAGATCTGCCATGCCATGTGGTCACCTCCAGGGAGGGCAGGGTTTGAACTCATGCTGAAGTGGCTTTAGATTCTTAGTGCTGTTCTTTAACTTGCTGTGCCACCAGGGAGGGCCTCCATGTTTTTTTAACAGTAGAATTGTAACCATAGTTAAAATCTATTGTTAATAAATTTTACATTTTCTCTTTTTATATTTAACAGTAGTAATTGGATATGTGTGTACAAATGGATATGTGTATATAGATGCATAGAGAAATACATTGTTTCTTTAAAAAATGTACATATTATCAATTTATAGCTCTATTGAGAAGTTACTAGGAAATTTTCATCTCACTGAAAGAATACACGTGTGTGTTCAGCTGTACATATATATACATATGTGTGCATGTATATGTATATATATATATATATATAATTCTTTCAGTGAGATGAAAATTTCCTAGTGACTTTTCAATAGAGCTATAAATTGATGATATGAACATTTTAAAAGAAATAATTTATCAAGATATGGAGAAAGATCGTAGGAACTATGTTGAATATAGAAAGACATTTTAGGAACTATCAATGATAGGAAAAGGTAAAGTGAGTAGGTTAGTTACAAAACAGGATTTAACAAACACACACACACACACATATATATACACACATATATACATATATATATGTGTTTGTGCTAAATCCTGTTTTGTAACTAACCTACTCACTTTACTATACACACACACACACACACACATATGGTAATTTGTTTCCTAATACACACACAAATACATGTCTATTAGGAAACAAACTCTCTACAGAAATATAATTCAGTAATTTTGGTCACAGGTGAAAAGAAAGTAAGACTTTGATTACTGAGGTTTTTTAATTCACAAAAGAGACAGTTAAAGCACGATGAGTCAAGTACACATCTGTCAAACAATTTTGAAATGTTTATTTGATGTCTGAAGCTTGTTCTATCACACTAGAATTCTAAATGCAGAAGAGTGTTATTTGAAGCCTCTCTTGTAGAGCAAGAGATTAAGTCTCAGCACTATAAAGCTTTGTGAAGCCACTGCAACAAGAGTTCAATCCTTGGCCAGGGAGGTGACCCACATAATGTAGCAGACATCTCTCTTCACTATCTGCTCACCTCAGCAGTGTATTTCAGTAGATCTGCCTGTTCTGCTCCACACTGTCTTTGGTAAATGTTCTCAGACCCTCCTATTTCTGTCCTACACCCCAGCTCTTCAGTGAATAAATAAATAAATCTATTTTTTTTTTGATGAGGGTCAGACTGCAGAATATGTATTTCATTTTTCAGGCCACTTCTGATATTCACCTTAAACTTCAAATATTGGCAATAGGATGCCAGGGTTTTCCTTCAGTATTAGTAAATAAGACCTTTAATTTGTTTTAATAACTGAGATCATGCCAAACACAGCTGGAAAAGATGACAGAGCAAGCCCGCCCATTATAGTCCACAGACGCCCAGCCGGCTGGGCAGTGCTTAATTAGCGGTAGAACAGCTGGCAGCATGGCCCCCAGCCTGCCCAGCATAATCCCCGGAATGCACAGCCCGCTGGGGATTCAAAACCGTGGTCAACCAGCAGGCAGCACGTCCCCCAGCCCAACCAGCATAGTCCCTGGAGTAGCCAGCTGGCTGGGGATTAATCAGTGGTGGAGCAGCATGCACTGTGTCCCCCACACCCCCCCAAAAAAAAACACACAGCTGGAAGAGATAACTGAACAAGGAGAAGTTGTCTTTGCCCCCAGCATGATGGGGGCAATGTATATTTAAATGATGGCTGGAAAGTATATTTTTCACCTGGACCTAAGGGATGTGAGTAGGGACAGACTCTCAAAGACTAGAATTTCCAGCCCCAATTAAGGATTTTTTTTTTTTTTTTTTTTTTTTTTTACTGAAGGGGCTGAGGAAAAACATTGGCTCCTGAAAAAAAAGACAAACATATGGTTGTTTGATCCTCAGGTAATTCTTGAATTGGTGGGTAAGACCCTTAGCATCCATCTAGAAACGGGGACCACATGCTCAATTTTAATTAAACCTGTCACTCAATTTTCCAACAGTGAATGTTTTATTGTGGGTGTTGATGGAAAATATGAAGAAGAAGAGTGTCATCTCCAATTTGCAAAGCTTGAAATCTCTTGTTATTTCATTTTTCAATTGTTATTCTGGAGTATAACTCATCCCTTCTGGGAAGAGACATGCTTTCCCAAATAAGAGTATAGCTTTTTACTAGTATAAAAATTGTAGACAGTAAACCATACTTCATTAAAACTCCTGACTTTCATTATTTGAAAAAAAGTTTTGGGGTTCTAAGTCATTTAAACAACAGATAAATTCAGGAGTTGGCTACTCACTTTGTGTGATGAAACAAAAATATGGTGCCAATGGAAATTAAGAAACCCAAGTATATTTCCACCTAGATTCCATATGCTCTATCTATTGAAGTCCAAAAAGGAATCAAGCTAGTCCTAGGTAAACTGGTAAATCATAGCCTACTAATACCGTGTACTTCTCTATGTAATATTCTCACAATAGAATTCCAGTGGGAGGCCCTCTCTGGTTGCGCAGCGGGTTGAAACACAGCAATGAGAATCTAAAGCCACCTCTGCATGAGTTCGATTCCCGCCTGCCCCGGAGGTGAGCACATGGCATAGCAGACCTCTCTTGACCCGCCCGCTGCTCCCCTCAGCAGTGTGCTTCATAGATCTGCCTGTTCTGCTCCCCACTCTGTCTCTGGTGAAGCCTCTCGCCGCCCCTGAGCCTCTGGCCTGTACCCCAGTTCTGTATGCACAAATAAATAAATCTTAAAAAAAAAAATTCCAGTGGGGAATACATTTAAGAGCTTAAAATTTAAGAGCTCTTTTCCCCATATATCCAAGATTTGTAATCTCTGTGTTTTGCTCAGCAAATCAAAGGAAAAATATTGTACTTCACTAGAGATTTAAAAATATGTTCTCCTGTATTCCTTTGGTCAATAAGTCAATACATGTCTGCCTTTATATGGAAAGACTTTGTCACATTTTCAGAAAGCCAACACACATGGGCAATCCTCACTCAAAGATTTTGGTACAACCTTCATGGATTTGAAAATGTTCTAAGTTTCCAAATTTCTCAGTATAAGTTTAAGCATCTAGGTATGAAGTGCCACATGCAAAGGCAAAACTAAGGGGTAAATGGCTGGATAAGTGGGTTCTTGTCTACACCACCCCAAAGTCCATTAAAGCCTTCATGGCATAACCATGTGTTGCCAAATCTGAATTCCTAATATTGGCTTAATTTACTAAGCCTTGTATAAGGCCTTGAAAGGAGCAGAAGGGGTGACTTTTATCAGGTACCAGCATGTTCCAGAGAAGTCTGATAGCTTAAAATTGTTCTTACAAAACCACCAGTCACTGAACAGTCATATGTAACAAAAGGTTTTCAGTTATATATGCATGAAAGGCAAGGAGTAGCATTTTAGGTGTTAATTCAGTTACCGGGACCAGAGGCCAGACCCACAAATATTTTCTCAATAATTGAATTATTTTAAAGACTTACTTATTTATTCTTACAGAGCTCAGGTACAGGCCAGAGGTGTGGTGGGTGAGAAGATTCACCAGAGTCAGAGAGGGGAGAACAGGCAGGTTGATTCAAACACACTGCTGAGGGGAGCAGTGGGTGGGTTAGAAGAGGTTTTCCATGCCATGTGGTTCAGTTCCCTGATGGGGGGTTGAACTCACACTGCAGTGGCTTCAGAGAGCTTCATAATGTGGTGATTTTACCTGTTGCTCCACCAGGGAGAGCCCTAAATAATTGACTTTAATTGCACAGGGATGTCCTTCCTTTCTTAAGGTAATAGCAGCCACCACTCAAGTATCTCAGGAAACTAGCAAATTAATCTTTGGAAGTATCTGACCATTTATAGCCCCCACTAGGTTGTCCTTTGTAAGATAAATAGTTTATATGACTGGGAAGAGGTGACCACTTTTTTGAAGCATGTGTAAAGTAAGTTGCCAAGGTAATTCCTGATGACTTCTTATATCGATAGTACAGATTGAGTCCTTGATACCAACATAAACTAAGGAAGAATAGAAACAGGTGACAAATAAAAGGTATCAACTGAAAGAGCATAAATGGTTAATAAATGAAGAAATGGTTAATAAATGAACTGTGTTTTTCTCACAGTTTAAAATGACACACCAAGGAGGGCCTCCATGTTTTTTTAAC